CGTTTATTTACACAAAGCTCCTCCTTAGAGCTGCAGTGCTCAGCCAATCTCCCTCCACACAGAGCACTCTTCCCCTGTGCCTCCCCCATGGTGTTCCTCCAGATTAGCAGCAGCAGACAGCAAACACTTTTTGGAACTGCATGTCTGCTGAGTTCATCATAGGAAATACTTCTCAGTCTAATACTCCAAAGCAAAGGGGAAGTGTCAGACATCAGCTTCTTAAAGAGTCAGAGGCCAATTTCAGGTGCTACAAACAGCTGTGATGCAAAATCAAATTTCTTTTGAGTTATTTTACATAGACAGTATTTTCATAACAACCGCTGATAACCTGGTTACTAGTTTGAACAAAAAAAAGGCATTATTAGCCATCAAGGCCTTTACCTGATGATTCCTTTACTCAAAATATGAATGGTCCCACAATAAACTGGAATGGTGAAACTCTGTACTTAATATATTGTATTATATTATGTATTAAGTATGTAAAATATTAGTCTGTACCTCCATCTAGTGGCTGTTAAGGGGCACTGCAACATATTTATTGCTTCAGGGCTCTCTCTGTAGGCTATTCAAATATACAGATGCTTAATATTTTTGGAGATGGCAGAACAAATCATTTTTAATTTCAAGTTTTTAAGCTTTGAGACTTCATGACAATAAACACTGTGAGCTCTGATTCCAGGCAGCTCTCATGCTTATAAACTTCAGTGCTGATATTGAAAGTTTACTCCTGTCATATTAAAAGCACAGTTCTGTGCATGTAATCATTTTCACCTGCAGTGATAAAATTGTTATATAAGTGATGAATTATAATATTCACATCCAGTTATGGCTTGGGTTGTGTAGAGGGAGCTCTGGTTGTCATCTCCTCTGATCAATGAGAGTCAGACGTGTTGAAGAACCTGAACATTTAAACTGGGTCTTTCTGTCTCCACATATCAGATCTGATTGCTGTGCCACCAAGGAGCCCTTTCCAGATGGATTTATTTACATGAGCTTTTGCAGCACTAAACTCCTTTTGAAAATTCATTTGGCCAAAAAGATTTTTATGAGTAGCTTGTCTCAGACGGGAGCTGTAAATGTATCCTGTAGAAATAATAGTCACAGAAAGGATGAGAGGTTCTGTGGAGATAAGGCTGAAGACAAACTTCCAGTAAATCACAAAACAAACAACTGTTGATTTATGCTGTACAGAATAATAATTTAAAGGTGTTTTGTTACCTGAGTAAGGTATCTGTACTTCATTTCAAGATTTCTTGGACTAGTGGCTTATATTGAACAGTATTTTTACAGGAAAGAGGATGAGATTTTAATTTTATCACTGGTGAAATAAAACTCTAGTTCAATTTTGCATTTCTGCTCAGTGGCTGTTTTTGATATGAGCTCTATGTATGGGCAGTTGCCCAGGGCAGCATTAGAAAGAACAAAAAAATATTTATCTGTCAGCGGTGCCCTGAACAAGTTTCCCTTGATTGCTGGTGAAGAGTGGGGTATATATTATTGTTTGAATTTTAATTAGTTGGAGGGCGACAGAAGGAAGGAAGGATTTGCCCAGGATGCCATTCCTGCAAGATCCACCACTGATACATTTGCAACAAGTTACATTTCTTCTGGCCTGTGGATTTCTAGAAAACATCCTCCATTTCTGTTTGGGTTACATTAGAAGAAAACTGATGTACCATATCTCACTATTCATAACACAATAGAAAGAATCAAAGTCTCTGATTCTGAAGAAACTCATTTAATTTTCCACACACCACTGACACTTAAAATGTCTAGATGAGAATATTTTTTAATTCATATTTTCAGTCAAAATTCTTAAAGAGTGACTTTACAAGTATTTAACTTAATTACAAAAGAGACTTAAGATGGCAACATTGAAAATGTGTCACACATTTAAATGTTAAAATCTAATAGAATCAAAGCATCAGGAGCATCTTAAAAATGAATATTACATTTCAAGAATCTGGTAGACAGTAAACAGTACATGTAAAACACGGCTCTTTGCTAAAACAAAGCTAAAGAAGCATATCTGATATTTGGAATCCATGTTAGTTCAAAGACTTGCAATAACATCTTATAAAAATATGAGATTATAAAAAACAAAAGCTTTTATTTCATACAGTAGATTGAACCATCACATCATTCAGTCTGCAAAGCTGCTTCGGTTGCTGCAGGATTATTTTCCTGTCAGAGGAGAGATCATTTCAGTGAGATATTTATCCACATTAAAATTAATTAAAGCCTCAGACATGAACATGTTCAAAGAATAAAATCATATTTTTAATTCTATTTCAGTTGTTTACTTTAAACATTCGGTTCAGGAACACAAAGATTGATACAATTTGAAGCTATTAAAACATGAACTGCTTTGATTAATCTAAAAACAAATATTGGATCAAAAAGCATGATGATGAACCTCTGTACCTTTACGTTAAATTATTAATCTGTGCCTCCATCTAGTGGCTGTTAAATGGCACTGCAACAGATTTACTGCTTCAGAGCTCTCACTGCATGTTACTCAAATACTCAGCTGTTTTATCATTTCAGATTTTTAAGCTTTGAATATTCAGGACAATAATAAACACTGTGAGCTCTGATAACGGGCGGCTCTCATGCTTATGAAATTCAATGCTGTTATGCAGAGTCGTCCAACATCAACAAATATTAAAGTGAAATGATACTTTGGCAAGTTTTAATTGGCATTGATTTTCATTCTCAATTCTGAAAGTCACTTTACAAATATGTAACTTAATCACAAGAGACTGAAAATGTGCCACACATTTAAATGTTCATATTTAATAACATCAATTGATCAATACCATCTCAAATATGAATATGATATGTTTTTGCTACATTTAACAATGAACAATGCATGCAAAAATAAATAAATAAATAAAAAAATTGGATTCCATTTTAGTTCACAGATTTACAACAGAATCAAACAGAATATGGGATTATGCAAGAAAATAGCTTTTATCTCATGCAGGAGGATCATTCAGCACTGCTGCTTCTGTTGCTGCAGGATTATTTTACTGTCAATGGAGAAATACTTTAGTGAGATATTTATCAACATTAAAAATGAGTTAAAGTCTTCTAAAGACTTGAACATGTCAAAGATATTATATTTTTAACTATCTCAGTCATTTACTTTAAACCTTCTGTTATAAAGCATATCAGAAAAACAAAGATTGATACAATCTGGAGATATTAAAAGATTAATTGTTTTGTTTCATCTAAAAATAAACATTGGATAAAAAAAGCATAAA